ATGTGAGATACAGGAATATATAAGGAAGGCATTGAAAATGACCTGTTGAGGAAGGAAATAGAAGAGGTCATAAACAGGTGGAAAACCATCCATGCTCATGCATAGGCAGAATCAACATTGTTGAAATATCTATACTACCCAAAGTGACCTACAAAGTCAATGCAATCCCTATTAAAATACCATCATCATTTTTCACAGATATAGAAAAAATAATTTTATGCTTTGTATGGAACCAGAGAGACCCTGTATAGCAAATGCAATCCTAGGCAATAAAAACAAAATGGAAGGTATCAATTTACTAGACTTCAAACTATACTACAAGGCTATAGTAATTAAAATAGCTTGGTACTGGCACAAGAACAGGGACATTGACCAGTGGAAACAGAACAAAGAACCCAGATGTAAAACCATCCTCATATAGCCATCTAATCTTTGACAAAGCAAACAAAAACATACACTGGGGAAAAGAATCCTTATTCAATAAATAGTGCTGGGAAAACTGGATAGCCACATGTAGAAGACTGAAACAGACCCACACCTTTCACCTCTTACAAAAATCAACTCATGCTGGATAACAGACTTGAACCTTAGTTATGAAACTATTAGAATTCTAGAGTAAAATGTTGGAAATACTCTTCTATACATTGGATTAGGCAAAGAATTTATGAAGAAGCCCACAAAGGCAATCACAGAAGCAACAAAAATAAATAAATGGGACCTGATCAACTTAAAAAGCTTCTGCACAGCCAAAGAAACTGTTATGAGAGTGAACAGATAACCTACAGAATGGGAGAAAATTTTCACAAGCTACACATCCGATAAAGGGCTGACAACTAGAATCTATTTAGAACTCAGGAAAAGCAGCAAGAAAAAATCAAACAACCTATCAAAAAGTGGGCAAAGGACATGAACAGAAACTTTCAAAGAAGACAGAATAATGTCCAACAAACATATGAAAAGATGCTCAACATCTCTAATCATCAGGGAAATGCAAATCAAAACCACAAAGAGATATCACTTATCTCCAGTGAGAATGGCTTTTATCAAAAAGTCCCACAACAAAATGTTGGCGTGGGTGAGAGATAGGAACACTCCTACACTGCTGGTGGGACTGCAAACTAGTGCAACCTCTGTGGAAAGCAATATGGAGATACCTTAAAGCAGGTGTCCTCAAACTACGGCCCACGGGCCACATGCAGGTGTTTTTGCCCGTTTGTTTTTTTACTTCTAAATAAGATATGTGCAGTGTGCACAGGAATTGTTCATATTTTTTTTAAACTGTAGTCAGGCCCTCTAATGGTCTGAGGGACAGTGACTGACCCCCTGTTTAAAAAGTTTGAGGACCCCTGCCTTAAAGTGATACAAGTCGATCTACCATTTGATCCAGCAATACCATTACTGGGCATCTACCCAAAAGATCAATAGTCACTTTATGAAAAAGACACCTGCATTCGAATGTTTATAGCAGCACAATTCACAATTGAAAAGCTGTGGAAACATCCCAAGTGCCCATCAATTCATGAGTGGATTAATAAAATGTGGTATATGTATACCATGGAATACTACTCAGCTTTAAGAAACAATGGTGATGTAGCACCTCTTGTATTATCCTGGATAGAGCTGGAACCCATTCTATTAAGTGAAGTATCTCAAGAATGGAAAAACCAGCACCACATGTACTCACCAGCAAATTGGTATTAACTGATCAACACCTAAGTGGACATACAGGAATAACATTTATCGAACATCGGCAGGTGGAAGCAGGGAGGGGATGGGTATATACATACATAATGAGTGTGATGTGCACCATCAGGGGTATGGACATGCTTGAAGCTCTGACTCTGGGGGGGGCGGGAGGCAACACATGTAACTTAAACATTTGCACCCCCATAATATGCTGAAATTAAAAAATATATACCAAAAGTTAAAAAAAAAAAGAAAGAAGAAAATGACCTGCTGTCCCTCTATTCATTGCCCTTAACCTTTTGGTGCTTTTCTTTCCTGATTTCCCCCCCATGAATGTGTAAGAGGTTATATATGAATATATAAAGTCATGCACCACTTAACAAGAGGACATGTTCCGAGAAATGTGTCATTAGATGATTTCACCCTGGTGGGAACATCATTGCATGTACCTACACAAAACTAAATGATACACCCAGACTATACGCTCTAGCCTATTGCTCATAGGGTGCAAACCTGTACAGTATGTTTCTGTACTGGTGAGCAATTGTAACACACGGTATTTGTTTATCTAAGCATATCTGAGCATAGAAAAGGTAGAGTAAAAATACTGTATTATAACCTGACAGGATCACCTGCACATGGTCTGAACAATTGACCAAAACATCACTATGTGGTGCATCATGTACTTTCTATAGAGTTGTATATGAATGTTTACATCCTATACAGTATATACAAATAAATACTTGCTTTGCTTTTTCATCTTATTTCCTTAAGATAAGATCCCAGAAATGAAATAAACAGAAAAAGGATGGACACTTTTAAGACTCCTGACAATTTGCAGCCCCCTCTTAAAGCCCTGCAGGGAGTGATCACACACCCTGTTCTAGTAACCTGTCAAAATACTCACAAAAGTATGTCGTGCTAATGAATGTTATTATCAGTGAGAATGGGGTAATGATCCTGACCTTCGTGCCCTGGAAGTTCTTCCTGAGACCTGCACTAATCCCTTCTGCCGAGTTAACTTCAAACCTGTTCCTTCGTGTGTTGTTCTCAGCAAATAAAAACAGTGATTCCTATTGTGCCCCTGACTGGCTTCTATGAAGAAAGCCTGTTATGGAATCTCCCCCCACCCTCTTGGTGTCCTCTGATGTTGGCTAAGTGGAGCCTGAGTCATCTGCATTTGCTCAAGGCCCAGATGTGGCCCACAGGGCTTTTCTCCTGTGTGCATTCTCCGGGCTGTCCACCCCAGACAGAAAGCCTCTTCCTTCCAGCAGACATCGCTGATAAGGGCCTGAGATTACCTCATTCACCCACAGGCAACATGCTCCCATTTACACGCTCAACCCTCAACATGGGATCACACTGGACTGCTGATTCACAGCTTAATGATTAAATTGTATTTGCCCTTTATTGTAAATAAGTACAAACAAAAAAAAAGTTTATATTGTCCATTTATGAATCTCTTTAGGCTCTTCACCAAGAGAAAACTTGCCTTCTATAAATGGATCCCAGATTGATCGTAGATATTTTCAGGAATATGAGTGTGGAGAAGAAAGGAGATTGATTTTAATGATGTGTAAATCTAAAATGAGATAATTATGGCTAATGTCTTGAAGCCATCATTTAGAAAATGGCCTTTGGCTTTTAATAGAATTTGCTTTTCTTTTTTTCTTTGAGACACAGTCTTACTCAGTTGCCCTGGGCAGAGTGCAGTGGTGGCATCATAGCTCACAGCAACCTCAAACTCCTAGGCTCAAGCAATCCTCTTGCCTCAACCTCCTGAGTAGCTGGGACTACAGGTGCACATCACCATGCCTGGCTAATTTTTCTATTTTTATTAGAGAAGGGGGGTCTCACTCTTGTTCAGGCTGGTCTTGAACTCCTAAGCTCAAGGAATCCTCCTGCTTCGGCCTCCCAGAGTGCTAGGATTAGTAGAATTTGACTTTCTAATGATAAAGTAGAAAGAATAGTATTTATCAGACACTCGCCACATGCCAGGCACTGTGCTAAGCACTTAGCTTCTGCTTATTTACTTTACTCTTCACGGTAACTCTATAAAGTAGGTACTAAGATTGCCCCATTTTTACAGAAGAGAACTGAGGAACTAAATGTCCTTGTAGCAACATGAATGGATCTTAAAAACATAATGCTTAGTTTTAAAAAAAGTAAGAAGCAGAATGAGAAATACAACACAATGCCATTTAAAAAATTAAAAAATATACATATAAAACCATACACAATTTTTAAGAATACAGATAAAACATCAAACATGTCAGAGGGCTTATCTATGGGAAGGAGAACAGGAGTGAGAAATGGGGATAAAAGGAAACAAATAGTAACAAGAAAAGCCTTGCACACAGCAACGAGAACAGTGTGCCACAGATGAGCAGGATACCATCTCCTCCCTCGGCACTGAGGTCCAAGGAAAATAACAAATGACCCCACAGCTCACAGCAGGGAGACAGTAACAGACTTCTCTGGCTGCTAGAGCCAGGGACCTGGACTCGAACCTAGGCATCTTGCACCTGCACCCCCTGCAGCACAGCTGTACCTAGTCTGTGAAAAGACATCTGCCACATAGCTTAACCCTTTTCAGGTTTCCACATTTTGCCTTGAGTAATTATGCGGTTTATTTGATCTTGAGGGAAAAGTGGATTTGCTCTATTTCTTATATGCCAAGTTCAAATGTGAGCTAAACAGCCAGCCATTCATGCATTCATCCACCAAGTTTTTATTGAGTGTTTATTATGTGCCGGGCATTGGGCCAGGCAGAGGGCAGACAGAGATGAACGAGCCAGAACTTTGGCCTCCTGAGCTCTCAGACACTGAGCCATTCTCTGACCACAGTCAGACAGACGTTCCTCTTCCTGATGGCCCCTGTGCAGAGCTGCTGTGAGAGCACAGATGTGCAGCTCAAACCTGCACGTGACCTTCTAAAGCACGAACTAGCATTCCCTAAGACAGTTCAGATTTCCACCAAGGAAGTTTGCTATAATAGCAACAACACTGATTTCCATGACCAAAGGAATTGATTTTTCTTGCTGCTAATCTTTCAAAATGAATTGATCAAGAAAGAACAACCCATGCAACAGCAACCCTAATAATTGTGGTAAAATCCGTCTCATTGGCTCATGTCATAACTTCTCTTTCTGTCCCAGGAGGTGAGTATCTCAGAGACAGATCGGGAAGTAGGCCATTCCATGAGGAAATAATGACATGTTGGAATGGGGACGTTTACTATAGCACTGACGAAGCGACAAACCCCCAGGAGCTGCGGGCTTGGTTGAGACCCCCCTGGGAGTCACCTGACTTACTTCGATAATTTTACAGGTGTCTTCCAGCTGGCTGATCACTCCCTGGACTCGATCATTGCTTCCCACAAGGACGGCGATGCCATTGCTAAGCTCAGACTAAATGAAGAGAAAAGAAGAACTCAAGATCAGGGGTTTCCTAATAATCACCACAGATTGTGCACTAGTCATATTTAATAGTATTGTCCTCGTGTGTTCTTCAGGTCCATGCAGCAATCCCTAAGGAGTGACAGGGAGGCCTGGGAGACCTGTGAATCTTCCAGAAGTGCAAGCAAATTTTGTATATGAATTCATTTGTGCGGGAAGAGGTTTCATAGATTTCACCACATTCTTAATAGAGACTCAGTTAAAAAGCATTAAGAACACTGAATTATAGGCCATTGAGAATAGCATGTTCAAGCTAAAGAATTCCAAGTATGGTTTGTAAGCGTAATGGAGTCTAATATATGACTTTAAGGACCCAAAATAATTATTTGCCTAGTGTAGCTCAGGTTCAGTTTTACTTGGGCAATGTATAAAGTAAATATTCATTTATTTGACATACACTTATTATGGGCCTGCTATGCTACGAATATAGTGTATAATATATATACACACAAACACCCACACACTAGACTACGTCACTACAGACTTAGAAACATGCAACCGATTCTAGGAGGAGAATGTCAACTTTGAAATTCCTTTTTTCTCTTGCCCTGAGAAGCTATCCTTTTGTTCATGTTTACCCCTTCCCGAGGCTGGCTTACAGAGCCTCAGGGAGCACTGAATGGGGACTTCAGACAACTCTGTGCTTGGTCCAACTCTGCCCCTAACTTCTCTATGATGATGGGCAATACATCAATTTGGACCTTAATTATTTCATATTTAAAGGAAGAAGGTTAGACAAGAACACTAATTATAAAACATTTTAAAGCTGCAGGACCCTTTCTTCAAATGGAAGTTAATATGGAAACCTGTAGATATAAGTGAAGCTGCTTTGGCCAAACAGGATGTGGAACAAACAGTGCCACCAGTCTGTCCTGTCCATCTCTCAGGAATCTCCAGGGCTCTGAGGCAAGAAGTGTGAAACGGTGTCATCTAACTTGATTTTGGGGGGTGTGGGGAGAGAAGAGGGGGAATAAATTATAAGTGGATTGAGAAATAAATAAACGTCATAGATAACTTGCAGAATTCTGCTTTGTTAGCAGTTGGTGGTTACTGGTGGTAACTGCTGCCCAAGAGTTTGGCTTCCAAATTTGATTCCAACTCTAATCTTCACAGTGAAACCCTGATGGACTGTGGAAGGATGATTCCAACTGAAAGCAGCTGGGAGGTGGAGCTGATCAAATCCTCAGCGCCTGGAGCCACTGCACCCAATGGAGCACCCAACCCACCTTTCATCTGCACCAAGTGGGTCAGCTCTGGCCCTCTTGTGCATGAAACCAGGGTGGCAGGTTGGTGCTGTGCCAGCGGAGACGCTGTCCTTGGTCAGGATGAGGGGCTGTGGCTGAGGCCCTGGGGTAAGGGAGATGCACCTACTCAAAGGGGGCCCTTTAGCAGCTGGCCCGGGTGGCATGAGGGCCAGCTCAAGGCAGTCTGTAACTACATGTCATTGTAACTCTCCCTCACTAGGAGTGGGGGAGAAAAAGCCTTGGGGAGGGTAAAAGAAACCTTTCATTGGTGAATGAAGGAAAGTATTCTGTGACGGGGGTAAGAAACTATCCTTTTCTTTCCACAGTCTAAACTTCAAATAATCTTGAGCAGTGTGAGCTTAGACTGGGTCCCCTAACACTACTCATCTTCAGCAACCTCCAAAGGGGGCGAAAACAGCGACCCTCTGCTGCGCCCTTCCTGAAACTACACACTTCAGCCCTGTCCAGCCTTCCTCGTCATCCTCCAGGGCACCCATCGCCGGCCACATGCCCAGCGCCAAGCCTGTGGCACTGGCACTTGGAAGGCACTGCCGGTGGGGGCGGGGGGGAATGCAGCTCTTACCTTCTGCCTCTGGAACACGTGAGTGAGGGGAGCCACCTGGCAGTCCTTGTGTGCACCGAACACCTTGCACAGGGAGCAGGTGGGCACCTCGCAGTTCAGACAGTAGATGTTGATGCGCTCCTCGTCGTGCTCCTCGCACATGGGCTGGTCGGACTTCTTCTCTGGCCTGGGAGGAGGCAGGCAGATTAAAGTCCGTCAACTCGCCCTGGGGCACAGCAAAGTCTGGTATGCGCCCTGCAAATCTATTCTAGAGGACTCCCAGGGGCCCTTTCTTGTCCCCGGAGCCCACCAAATTTGGCTTCCCGACGAGTTTAGCAGTGGTGTGCCCACAAATCTCTAACTCGCTTGTGGCTGGGACCGCGACATAGAGACCCTGACTCGTAGCATTTGCCAGTTTCCGTGGTGGGTTTGCACTCTGGCCGATTTCGATTTATTTAAGTTTGGGAATGGGCTGGCGAGGTTCCCGAAAGTCAAACCCTGGACCCTGGCGAGTCGTTGGGAGTGTGCTCCAGCGCGGTGTCCACACCTCCCGAGTTTCTCAAGAGACGTTTCCCGGTTATGAGCAAAGAAGGGGAGGTGGCAGAACAACTAAATCTCAAGTTTGCACAGCTTTGCGGAGGAGTTCGAGGCTACTGCTCCAGCCTCTGGCCCCAGGAAACACCTGTTCCAGCTGAAGGAGTCGCTAGTGGGAACCGAAATCTTCTCATTATTGGTCTGGGAGGTGCTGGCCGGAAGTAGTAAGAGGGAGGTGTAGCCTCCTTACACAAAATCCAGGAATTTAGATGTGTCCTGTCTAAAGACTGAGGCTGTTAATAGTTTTCATAAGTATTTTAGGAACTCAAATCCTCATATTCCCAAACCTATAGTTATTTAGAAATATCTTAGATTTGGGGCTACGTTTTGTTACTTGCCAACGGCTGAGGGAAGCCCTGGGTCTGATGAGGAAATTATATTTAGTTCCAGTTTCAAGACTTTGGAATCTCATTTTTACAAAAGGGGTTTCCATCTGGTCTTGTAGTGTCCTGGCAAGTGTTAATAGCAAGTGTTACAGCTAGTGTTACGGTGCTTGACTGGGGAAAGATCCCAGCGGCACACGGAGAATCGGAGAACAGCCTTTATTGGGCCAGCAGGCTCAGCATCAAGTTCCGACCCCCCTTCCTTGTTCTCCAGTTTTTACATCCTTGGTAGGATTCAAAAAGTGTCCAATCAGCAACAAGCTTTAACATCCAATCAGCCGGCTGCATCCCGGAGCCCAAAGGTTTTCCCTGTCATTAGCAATATGCTTTCCATGAAGTGTGTGATCTGACTTGACCATATGCTTGGAACCCAGATAAGGCAAGTGAACTCCACAGTTGAGAAAATTATCTCCCCTCTCAGGTCCAGAACTGTTTCCTCAACTAGAATGCGAGCTCCCTGAGGCAGGGGCCGTGGGGTGTCCTCTGTTTTGCTGGCATCCCAGTACCCAGAAGAGTGCCTTGCATAGAGGGGCGCTCAGCAAATACTTGTTGAATTGATAAGTGAAAAGATGAAAGGGAAATTGCCCTGTTAATGGACACTATTCCCCGTGCTCTAACATAGCATCGCCTAGCTGGAGAGGGGGCCGGAAATGTAGGGAAAGCCCGGGGTCACCTGGCACTCGGCAAAGGAAGAGACCAGACAACATCCTGAATACTCCGTTAATAAATGACAATGCCTTCTGGAGGTTTTCTAGAGAACAGGATTGGCGACTTGGTCTCTGCCTGGTCAAAGGCTCCTCCACCTCGAAGCCCTTCCTTCCCATGTGTCTCCGCCTTGCGACAGGTGCAGGTTAAGCAAGAGTCTGGAGCAAGTCTACTGGAAAAGGCACGGGCTGTGCTTCTGCAGCTCTTTCTCTCTAGACATTTCCTGAGGGCAGCCTGAGCCCCACATGCTGTTCTGATGTCAACAGCTGTGACTAGAGACAGTGTCATATAGCACAGGCCTCTGCAGTATATGCGAACATTGAAAATGGGGAAACAGCCTTAAGGCTCTATATTTAGTTTGTGATTCTTTTTGTCTCAATGGTACAATATGCACTGAGAACTATTTCCCATATTCCTTATTGGGTTCTTCTTATTTTATTTGCTACATAGGCCCAGAGGCACCACCTACTCATAAACGAGTGTGTAATGAAAACCTCTGTACAACTTAAAACGTATAACAGACTGGAGACAAATATTGGCATGTAGAATAAAGATGTAAAATACGTTATTTATGAAGTGAGAGTGGCCAGGCTCACAGTGGTGGTCAGGCCGGACTGGAGGATTCTGTAGCCTACTCTCTCTGGTCTCCACCCTAGGGTCTCTGCAGGGGTGGGCGTCTGGTCTTGGTCAGGTAAATCAGCAGTACCTTTGTCATCAAACTGATCTTAAAGCTTCATTCCAGCTTAGTTTCTCTCTGTGGTGGCTGTGGCAAGTTACCTAACCTCTTTTGGTCTCAATTTTTACTCACATCTAAAAATTGGACCAGGAGTCTTCTAATTAAACATAGCAGAATGAACATCGGCATTTATTTATTTATGTTTTCTGCGGAAATCCCAGTAAAATGAGAGTAACAAAATAAAGAGGTATAAATCAGTGAGGACAAAAAGTAAGCAAGATGACAGCAGAGAGATGTCAACCAAATGTTGGAAATTAGGAACATTTGGATGATGTTTGCATCTCAGCTCTTCTAAGTGCCTACAGGGAAGGAGCCTACGAGAAGCAAGCTGACTTGAGCTGTAGAACCCTGGAAAGGCTCTGGAACTGCAGGAACCAAGTATCCTGAAGGCAGAAGTGTGGCAGAAGCTGAAAAAAAGAGGACTTTATGCACATTCTAGGAGATTACTTGAGGATGTGCTCCATGAAAAGAAGAGAGTAAACCAACAAAGAGGAAGACCTGGGTTCCGGGAAGCAAGGAGTTCAGTCCAGGGGAGAGTAAAGGCAATTCCCAAGCAGAAGGTAAAGCCCAGCCACGTGAGGGCCCATTCCTAAACATCTACTATGGAAAGTCAACAGATAATGTCTCAAATTGAAAAATCAAGGAATAAGAGCATACCAGTAGTGCATACATGTTGTTGGTGATAAATAGCAGAAAAACAACTAAAAGAATTAAAAGTGATTGACTCTGGGGAGTGAGACTTGGGAGGGAAGAAAAAGTAGGCCTTGTAGTACTGTTTTAATTTTTTGAGGTATGTGTTTTAATTACTTTGATTAAAATATTAAAAACTTTTAATAGGGTAATAATAATAATAATCACCACTTCACAGGATTGTGGTAAGAATTAAAAAATGCACACAATTCATGTGCAAAGCACCCTGATAGTGTTTGACACATAGCACATAGTCATAGAGTAGTTTTACTTATTCTATTTTAAAGTTAATTATTATTATGTTAATTACTAATATTAGCCAAAATAGTACCTTCTCTTGCCACCACCCTCCCCCCCAAACTATGGCTAGTTCAGCACCACGCAGAATTCTAGATAAGAAGGCCAAGTTTTGTGCAGACCCACAGTCTCCATAGCCTTTCTGTGGGAGGTCAGAGTTGACCAGTACTGCACAGTTCTTTGATACCCCCTCCCGCTTTTGTTGCTGCCTCCAGTGACCGGAACTGGGATCTCCTTACTCTGCATACCCAAGGTTATTCCAGGGTCTTCTAATAGACTCTCGGGCTCCAGGTTCTGGTCTGGTAAGGCTGCCAGCCTTCAGAGGACAGCTGAGTTTACACCCAGACATATGGCTAAGCCCTCTGGGCCACTTGTGGTTTTGCTACCAAGTAAAACTGTCCCAAAGGCAAGTCTCAAGTTCAAGAAACAACAGCATAAGAATTTAAAAATCATTAAAACACTCCTGGTCCACTCAGCTATGCACTGTACCATTGGAAATTTGGTTCATTGCTTTCATGCAATTTGCTTCCCAGTCCCTGGATACTATTTTTGGCAGCTGCAACAAGCAGACTTCCTAGTTAAGGTAACAATGTGTCTTACAGTTTTACTAATGCTACAAATTCCAACGTCTCTTCTCTGGATTTCATAGCAAGTATTGTTTTTTTGTTTTTTGTGTTTTTTTTTCACATTTCAAGTTTCCACTGTGGCAAATAGCAAAACAGAAAATTATTGCAATAAATAAAACATGTAAGAATATTTGTGGTTAATCAGCTGGCACCTATGGAGCAACTATTCTGTGCAAGGCACTGTACAAAGCACTGAAACAGTTGTTATATAAACTCCCTTAATAATTGGTTGGTTATTAATTGGCTGCTTAAGTTTTTAAAGAGACAGTGGGTGTATTTACATTTTAAAGTCATGAAATACAATGAGATAAGATCTGGAAAGTAACAACAACACTGGTACTTTCATTCTTGTCAAGAGACTTTGGAAGCAAGGGAAGCAGCTGGCTGCAATCTCTGCAATATGTCATCAGCAATTCTTTTTCTTCCCCAAACCGGTCTGTATCCTGGTACTATCTAATTTAGTTTTGGATCTTAAGCAGAAACTAATAGCCATAATAATTACAATAATTATGTTGGATTTATAGAACAGCTCTCCTTCCAAGAGTGCAAGCCTCTTCAAAGCCCTGCAGATGTTTCACAAATACATGTCCCCTAATAGAATCACAATGAGGCCATTTCTAGATGGTCTCAATGTGCTATCAAGCTTTGTGGACCGGACTGACCTGTACACAATTGAAAAAAAGGGATCTTCACACCGTGCCTTCTAGGAACAAACTCCTGCTGTGTTGTCTCTAGGAAAGGAATTCTATAGCCAATGTGGTTCATGATTAAGAAGCCTTTTTTATTTTTTAAATGAATGGAGACATATATATACACACACACACATACATGTGTATATGCATATATATGTATATGTGTGTATATATATGCATATATATGTGTGTGTATACAAAGAGAGCATGTCAATCAGTCAAGTGAATGCTAAGACTATATGCAGTAAATAGATTCTAACAAATAGGGAAACATAAACTAAACTCCATCTTCTTTTTTTCCTCCAGTGTCTCTAAACTTCAAGTCCCTAAAGGCCAGGGTTATGCCTTGCTTTGCAACATCCCATAGAGTCAAGATGGTAGCAAACTGTGTTAAGGGATTTTGTTTTCATTATTATCATCCAGACAATTTTAAGACGAGACTATCTGAACTAGGAACTGGGCTATTTTGGAAGATGCCCATTCTAAAATTTAATTTTCTATTAAGTTTTATACTAGAATTTTTCTGCTTTGTAGGATCAGGAGCTACAAAGGACCTGTGAAGTGCAAAAACAACTAAAATGTATGTAATACTAGTCTTTAAGGGAGGAGGGGCTGGCTGCCTTATGCCTCTTTCAGCATCACCATCTGGAAGGGATTAGTGCTAATGAGTCACGTCAACCTCAAATTGATACAAAAGCATGGGCACCAGCTTCCTTCTCTCTTCTCATGAGCAACTCTCAGTCCCATTGGGAAGGACTGACTTGGAAAAGCATTTTCCTATAAAACAACCAGTCTGTGATTGGCAAACAAGCATTCAGTGTAACAACCCACTAAAACAAACAAACAAAAACAAGCCTCGCCTGGGTTTGACACACGGAAGAGGGTTACCTCGTGGACTCCTGTTTGTAGATGTCAATGATATTTTCCACCAGCAGGTTCCTCTGAAGTCCATATACCCCATGTCTGTCCAAAACCACTTCATGTCTACAGGATGGGCAGCGGAATCGGCCCCCCGACGCCACGGTGGTGCCTCCTCTTGTGGGCAAGTATGGGTTAGAGGCCTGTTCTTGCCAAGCAAGGAAAGAGGAACTGAGTAATGCCTCAAGGCAGCTTTTCTGAGACTTCTTTTCCCTCTCTGTTACTACAAACAACACGAAATTCTATTTTAAGTTTGCTATAAGATAATCCCTCAGGGCCTTATCAGCAAGCAGTGCTGAAACCCGGGCCAGCCCTTATCCACAGTCATCTGCAACGTGCCATTGTCAGTATAAGGTGCTTTTCCAGCCAACATTTTCATAACTAAAAGTTCCAGCCAGAAACTCCATATTAATGGCTTGGGCAATAATTCATTTACAATTTTGAAACAGATTCAATGGTTTGGATTCTTTTAAAAAAACAAATGCGATTCTTAGTATTAAAATAAAACTAGATGTAGGAGTAAGGAGGAGCTGGATAGCAAAGCACAAAGCAAATCATTAAAAAAAATTTTGTTTTCCTTGAAAATAAATGAGACCTTATAAAGTTTTCTAAAGGAGTTCACCCCAGTGTTAAGCGCTTGATTCCAAGAGGAGGGAATGTTTTTCCGTTCCCCAAATTCCAAACAAACCTACCTGGAAAATATCACTGGCACATTTCCTACACAGGTTATGCTGACAAGGGAGAATGACCACGGGTTTTGTGAACATCTCTAAGCAGATGGGACAGATGAGTTGCTTCTCCAAGTTATCCATGGTCTGCTGCTCTTTGGAAAAAGACTTGTAATTCAAAGATGCGCTCATCTCCTGGCCGTCCCCGCCAACACCGCCAGGGAAAGGGTGCTTTGAATGGCTTCTGCAAGTGGTTCCTGGAAATAATTCCGAGGATTGTGTGATCAAGTGTCCTTTACATTTCTCTCGGCGGAGGACATTGTTTCAGGCCCCGGTTCGGAGCGGGTGCTGGAGCTGTTTTTAGCAGCCCGTGGTCACGTGGCAGTGGGCCGACTTGTCCATATAAGCCAGTGACAGGAGGATGGACGCTGACAGCTGATGAAGAGCAAGAGTCAACATTCTTGCCCAAGGGAGGGAAGTGAGTGGGTGGAAAGGAGGATTACAAACCCCATTTAGACAGAGGTTGTGAGGACCAGGAGCTGACAGTTGTCAACAACAAATGCAAATGTGCATGCCTGGTCACAGAGCCGTGCCCTCTGTGAGCCCTCAGACCTTGGTGACGAGCTCCTCCAAGAAGGGGCAGAATGCAGCCCGAGAGTCGGACTGTATAACAAATACCATTTCTGTCTTGAAAGTTCAGGGATCTAGTCACCAATAGTAGTATGATAACAACACCTGAGGTGAAAACAAACAAAAACACATCTTGAAAATGGTTATCCTGGCTTCACGAGGGCAACCATCAAAAAAGACTTCCTTCATGTCTGGGTAAAATTCCAATTTAAGAGCTGAATGCAAATCATTTCACCATGAAAGTGTACACACACACACACACACACAAAGTTCAAACACCAGTTGATGATCCAATTATTTAAGAAAAAAATATATATAATAAAACCCTAGCAGGCCCTTTTCTCTTCCACGTTGCTTTCCTCCTCCCTAGGAAGTTAGGAACCTCTTTCATTCTGTAGCCTCCATCCCTGTACGCACACCCAAAAACAGAAAGAAACTTTGACAGTCTTAAAAAATCTAAATTTAGTTTGCAGCAGTAATCAGTAATAAGGTAGCAACTGGCACAGGGAGGGGCTGGGGGGCAGGGTGGTGGTGGCAGAGCTATTGTTTCATTTTGCCACACATCCAGGGTCAGATAGGAGTGCCATTAACAACTGAAATGAGGATAGAGTCCTGCTTCCCTATCTGTTTTTTCTTTGCATTTGCCCCTTCCTCCAAGGTGATTTTTTAAATGACAGTTTCCCTAGTCATTTTTTATATTCTTGGTCTGCTCTTGATTCAGAAACATTAATTCTGACATTGGCCAGGATTTGGGGAAGCAACTGTTTAGCCAATATATATTGTATTTAAAAATGTTAAATCAGATAAAAAATGAAAAAAGAAATCCATGTCTACATGTGAATAACTTGCACTTGTATTTCTCATTGATTTCTGAAAACCTTGGACAAGGAACACATTTTGTTAACATATCTCTGGTATAAAGTTTAATTACCAGTAAAGGGTAGGTAGGTCAGTGTGACTAGTTATGTATGATTTTAGTGTTATTTGTATGGAGAGCTTATTAAGAATCTAATAAGATCTATTAAGTAATAATAGGTTATATGTATTCCTAAACATTTCAGGCATCTTTGGAGAATTTGTTTATTCCTTTCAATATTTATTTAGCAATGACAGTGAAGAAGAGAACTAGTGAGAATTTTTACTGAGTTACTTCAGTTCACCTAGCCTAGGCATTTAAAAGTGTTTATCATTACACTGGCCATGGAAGGGAAATCTGAGCACAATATGTGAGCTATTTCCTAGGAAAGATGAAGTTTCTATTGTGAAAGTAAAAGACCTTACGATGTAAGGAAAAGCGCTTAAACTAATAATATACTCTGTAACAGAGCCTGTTCTTATAGAAGGAATCCATTCCCTTAAAACACGTTCTTTGAGAATTTATCGTGTATGTTCATTGCACAAGGCTCTGGGAACTGAAAGATGAACAAGACACAGGTCATCACCCTCAAGGAGCTCAGCCCAGTAGTGGAGGGGAGATAAGACACATGTATACAGAACCATAGCACAAAACAAAATGTGATCCAGACACCTAACGGGTCCGATAACTTCGACTCAAATTGTACGAAACCAATGTATGTAACTAAAACGTTTGTACCTGCATAATATCTGAAATTTTTAAAAAATTAAAAATTGTTTTAAAAAGTGTGATCCAGAGCTGCAGAATTTCCCAGTGAGGACTCAGGAGGGCTGCATGGTGGGGGACACGTTTGGGCTGCTGCACCGAGGAACTGGGATCGATGGATGTGCAGTGAGTGGGCCAGAGTTGGGGCTTCCAAGGGAAAGTGCAGAAGCAGGGACACAGAGGCACAGGCGTGTAGGGGCTCTCAGAGCACACGGAGGCTGGCTTGAGCTGGAGTGCAGGCACGCTGCTGATGCAGTGGCAGGCCAGGAATACTGGGCTAAAGAGTTTTTAACACATAATAAATTAGGCAACAGGAAGTCATTAAGTTTCTCACAGGGACATTTCCGTAAGAGCAGTGGTTGGTTAGGTTGACCTCGCAGTGGCGATCCGGGCAGCTGGGCACAAAGGTGACCTGGCAAAGGTCCAGATCGGAGCCTGTTGCCCATAGTTCCAGTGACAGGTCATGAAGCTCTGGCGCTGGCGAAGGTAGTGGGAAAGGAAAGGAGGAAATGGACTCTGGGGCAGCTATGAAAGTGGAATCCATGGGGATGACTCAGATGCCCGAGTCTGACCAACATGAGGCGGTGAGAGGCTGCACAGTGAGTCAGAGACAGGCTTCTCTCCGGCCTCTGGGTCTACCTCGCTTATCGGTCTGGGGAAGGTGACCTCACCTAGCAGGATTTCAGTTCTTCCATCTATAAGTAAGTGAAGTTCATAACCTCACTTAGCAGTATTTGTTGGAAAAAATATCTCTGAAACGGTATTAATTTTGAAGTAGAAAATTCCCAGTTGGATTATTTGATGTACAGTTGATCTCTAGCCTTCTCTTTCTTTTTCTCTCTGTTCCTTCTTGCTCTCTGCCTTTCACTTTTTCTTAGAACTGTGCCTAGGGGCTACACGGGAAACTAGCATGGATCCCACAGGAATAAGAGCCAAGCTAATGAACAGCACCCACCTTCCCTCTTCATGCTCTTTTCTCCACTCCTTGCTACCACTGCTCTCAGGGACCCACAGTCTATGGGGTGGGGGTGGCAGTTGGGAGAGGGACACAGGCAGAGTGCTGTGCTCTAGGGAGGAACTAGATTTTAGTCTACTCCCAAATCATTTACAGGAGGTAGGGAAAATTCTGGAATCGAATCAGAAATCTAAGTCATCCTCAAGGCTCTGGAATTTGGTGTGGACTTGAGTCTCCATGGGGACATGAAAACCAGCTGTTAAAAGAAAAACTGTAGACAAATTAAATTTAACAGAGTTTAATTGAGCAACCTGAACAGCCCTCCGAACCAGAAGTGATTCAGAGTGAGTCCAGGGCTGCCTCATGGCCGGATAACATTTATGGACAGAAAAAGGAAAGTGACATGTAGAAAAGGGAGGTGAGGTCCAGAAGCTGGATTGGCTGTATTTGAAGCTGGACATTGACTGTATTTGAACAGGTGGCCACCTGTTATTGGCTGAGACTGGGTCATTTGTTACAAGAGTAGGTTACAGACTATATACACCTCCAGTTAGGTGACAGTTCATTATGTACATAGAAACCTTTAGGCCAAACTTAAAATATGTAAGGAGGCAGATTGGGGCTAAACTTAACACACTTTAGTCTCCTAACCCCTTCTCCCATCCCTGACCTCACCACACACAGAGGACAGGGGCTGGACAATACTGGGAGTGATTACACAGGGAGCTGCCTTGGTTGGAAGCCCTAGTTGTCCCACATTTCTGAGTCCCACCAGCCTGGAAAAGAGTATGTTTAGACACATTGAGAAACTGAAGCGAAATCAGCACCACTCTCTTCCTCCAGTAGCTTCCCAATATTTCCCAGATAAGTCTGGGGAAATGAGGTGGGTCCCTTGGAAACTGAGTATGCACCCAACAGTGGATTTGGCACTAAGGGGTGACAACAAAAAGAGAGGGCTTTTGACCTCTTTTAAACCTCTAGCTGCCAGGCCAAATGGAACCAGGCTTCAGGGCCCAGGGCAGGGGAATGAAATGTAGGCCTGCAATGCAGTTCTGACACCAGCAGCCTGGAGTTAGGCCAGACTTCACGAGTTAGGGGCACAGTCCTCCATGGGGCTGTCCTCGCTGCAGACACCAGCAGCAAACTCAGGGGTTCCCAGGTCTGCACATCTGACCAACTGGTTACAAATTTGGGGGTTCCCACTACCCCCTCTGTTTGATAATTTGCTAGAAGGAGCCACAGAACTCAGGAAAGCATATTTATAATTATAGCTTTGTTAGAGCACAAAAGAATACAAATTAGGCCCAGGCTAAAGAAGGATTGCACAGGGATAGGTTGGGGGCAGGTGTCCCAAATGTGAACTTCCATGTCCTCTCCCAATGGGATCAGGATTCCTCACCTTTCTGGCACATCGAAGCATGGCAATGCACACAGAAAAGTGCTGTTATCCAGGGAAGCTCACCGAGTTTCTGTGTCCAGAGTTTTTATCAGGGTTTCATTACATAGGCACAATTGATTAAATCATTAGCCACGTATTGGAACTGTATCTTCAGTCCTCCTTGCCTCCCCTGAGGTCAGGCTGATGCCACTCAGCTCAGTGCCCAAGCTTTCTCATCACAGGGTTGGTCTTTCTGACTCCTATCCCGAGTCATCTCATTAGCATAAACTATCAAGGCCCACAATGAATAACAAAGGCACACCTAATACTCAGGAAATTCTGAGGATTTAGAGGCTCCCTCCCCAGGAACCTGGGACAAAGGACAGCCAAATTCTTTATTATACAATAAGACCTCAGTGAGTTTTTCATCTCAGAGAAGGAGAAAGGGGTATGCTAAAATTACTTTTACTATTATACCACCACAACCAATTTAATAAATATATACTTAGTACCTGTCATTTCACATAATAGCTCCCTGTATTCGGTATTATTATCTCCATTGTGCCAACTGTGGCTGAGCCAAGTTCTGTGACACAAATCAAAGACACTCTGGGAGGCCAAGGCAGGAGGATGGCTCAAGGTCAGGAGTTCAAAACCAGCCTGAGCAAGAATGAGACCCCCATCTCTACTAAAAATAGAAAGAAATTAATTTGCCAACTAAAAATATATAGAAAAAATTAGCCAGGCATGGTGGTTCATGCCTGTAGTCACAGCTACTCAGGAGGCTGAGGCAGAAGGATTGCTTGAGCCCAGGAGTTTGAGGTTGCTGTGAGCT